AGTGCAATGATACACATACTAATAAAATAAAAATATGAAAAATATTTGTTCACTGTGTGAGAATATTTAGAGCTTAGCAAATATTTGGGAACCCCCCCCCTTCAAAAAGGTTTCAATTTGCAGGATATCCCTATACTTGCCGCTTCTGTTCTTCGGTAAAGGCATGCCGGTAGAGTGCACTGAGTATTCCAAATGCAGCCAGAAAGAGGAGGAGTTCACGATAGATGAGTTTGTACAGACTCCCTTTCCACATAAACAGAAGACGTGTGAAACCTCCACTAGTGGAGGACGCCACTTCATACTGGTAGCTCACTGTCATTGTTTCATCATTAGACAGCACACAGTTCTATTGGTATATGCATTCTATTGCAGGGTCTCAGATTTGTAACTTTGTCTAAAAGTGCTCACTGTGTACAGTACATTATGCCTTCTTGCTGAATGTCTCTGACCACTATCTAAGAACCTTGATTATAACAACAACAACAACAATAATAATATACTTGTTTTTTCAAGATTATACTGCCACTGTTGCTGAACAGTTCATAAACCATATACTACTGCCTGTGACCATGAAGCTTTATGGAACAAAATGCCGAAAATTCGAGTGAAGGACTTACATGTTAGAAGTAACTTGTCATATTACTTGTGAACAGTTCAAGACATTTCATAAGATAAAACTGCTTCAAAGCAAGTTGTTTCACCAGTAGAGCACTATATGTCTTTCTACTAATCACTGAACAAACTCACATTTTTATGGATAACATCAACTGAAGTTCTTATGCTGCTGTAATGTTTCAATTAGTTCAATCACAACACAGAAGAGTCCCCACCCCAGTACTATTTCACCATCATTGCATAAACTTACCACACTTATAAAAGAATAATGTGTAATATTGACCTTCACGGCAAACTTAGGAATAGCTCACATTAAATAACTGCATCATTACTCTTTACTGAAACAAATGGCAGTTGGAAAGCACATCTGATTCCATGCTATGCAAAATGGTGCAGAATTTCCCCAATATAGTTGGTGTAGAAACATTTGATCCATTTGATTAAAACACAATTTTCATTCTCACTGCATCGCTGTGGAATAATGAACTGCATATGATGCACTGTCATTAATATCACCAATTATATCAATCCTGCATTTCTTAATTAAATCAAACATATATTAAAATAATGAAACCTGGTCTATGTCAGAGGTTCACAGCTTCAGTATTTCTGCTGAACATTACACAAACAATCAATTGCTTATAGTAAAAAATGTAGAATGGGATATGCAAAATAGATTACACATAGGATGGTGAAGCTAAAAAGGCAGAACCATTACACACAACCACAACTGGATGAACACAGACACTCACAAAGAAAATAGCAAGACTTCACAACATTCAATAGTTTGGTATTTGGCTCAGGCTGTAGCTACTAAACTGAATATAGAAAATACCAAGACAGTAGACACACAGAAAAGAGAAAGAAGAGTGGACAGTAAAAAACCTCACAACATCCTGGCAGCTGACAGAGATGGACAATCAACCTTAACATAGCAGACAGCTTGAGACAGCACAGAACAAGGGACAGAGATAGCTACAGCCAATATATACAGAGAAAAATAAAGTGATATGCATAGAATTAATACCACTTGTATGAAATAATCACACTTTAAAAAACAGCCATACAAGGCTAAATTCTTTATCAATAAAAAAGTAGATTGAATAGAGAAACCAAATATTGAATCACTAAGTGTTGTTTTCATACTAAACTGAAAAAGTGGAAATGCATACATGTCATGGTGCATATATTCCTTACTTGGAAATATTTTTTATAATTTACTACTGTTTGAAAACAACATCAGGTTCCATAAAAAGCAAGAAATGTACATTGACTAATTACCAGCTTCTCAAGACACTACTCCTAAAGTGGGTAAGTAGGTAAGCAAAATTATATTTTCACACACACTTTAAAATCAGTGTTAAAAATTTAATTTCATTAAAGCATCAGATACAAAATATATTATATAAGTAATTCCCAATGTTTTGTTTTAACCCTAACCCTTCATGCCACAATTCTACAGTCAATGAGTAACTATGATGAACCAAGGTTTTTACAACATAACCTAAAATACTTAATACATCTTTCTTCAGCCTTCTCAAGAACAATTCACAATTCATAACATTATCATTCCTCTAAAAACTCCCTGTGTAAGAGTTTGAAATGTTTAGCTGCAGCAAAAGTTTAAATATTTTGGGTGCTATGACATCTATATCTGCAATCATTGGTAAAATAATCATAAATATATTAAAATAAAGAACAGCATAAATTGTGGACATAATACAAACATAAAACTGCACACTCTTACATATGATCCAAAGACATTTTTTTAATCTAAGTTACAGATTGTAAATATCATGCTGATTCAAAAATATAGCACTTAAACTCCTTTCATGCTTGTTACTTCGGACCATTTGCTTGATTGTTAATACTTAAATCATTATGACATAAAATGTATAAAAATAGGCTGTAATTTAAATGCATAGAATAAATCTGGAACAAGTTATAATCACAAAATGAAAGCACTAAATCTAATATAACAGGAGTAAGTAGAGGTGTGTGATGAACATAAATTATCATTAATAAGAAAATACCCAGAAAACAGGGTAAAAAGTAACTAAAGCTGTCCCACTATCTGCCATATGGGTGCTTGGGGGAGAGGTAGTATAGCTCCTACTCATTCTTAACCTCAGCACTAGGTGGGGATGAGTGGATGCCCTGGCCACAACTTAACCCCGGGAAAATACCCCAGTACCCATTGGATAAGAAGCTGGGTGGGCCCTAGGGCCCATCTGGATGCAAAGGCTAGAGGAAAAATCCTCTGACCCCATCACGGATTAAACCCTGGTCATCCAGTCTGTAGCCAGTCACTATACTGACTGAGCAACCCCAGCTCAAAACAGGGTAGAAAATAGAAGTTCAAACACTGAAATTTGGCTATGTGCCCAACTAAGAACTCTAGCTCAGGACATATTATGGTATTAAGAGTACATCAAAGCAACCAAAGTGTAAAGAAAATACAGTCAAGATATAAATAGAGAGATTCAGCTTGTTAAAAATAGAATTGAAAACACAAGAAACTGGAATAAACTGCCAAGGAAGATGGAGCAGACATAAAGAGAAATATGTTCAGTGACATTTTCTTAGAGGAAGCACTCTAGTACTTTGAACCATATTACACATTAAGAGCAAGTAAAGGATGAAAACCTTTACAGCGAGTTGTATTACGATAAAGAATGGATACCAAACTTGTTTATGCCAAACACATGCATTTCATAGGTATATAAACACTGAAACTATTGGGGTTTGGCCAAAAACAAATTAATAACACATAACTTGACCTGTAAAAACAAATATGGTTTGAAACTGCACATACCAACACTCAATAATTTGCTCGTCATTGATGTATACATACGACATCGACAGTTATCTGTTCATATATTAAATGGTCTGTAAATGTTTATGCTCGCTTCAAAGTTTCACACAGTGCACGCGAAACACATATTGATTTATTTTATTAATCCTTCTGGCATGGAGTAATACCTTCAACGGCGATCTGTGCTCAAAACAACAGATGGGTTTGTGTGTGCACATCGGTATTCAAAACAAGCTCCCTTACTCATCGGCATTAACGCGAGACCAAATTCCTAATTGTAATGTCCTTGTTATGAAACGTATTGGCAATATTATATTTCTTTCGATTCTTAAAAAATGTCACATTCTAATTCCCACACAAACTCAAAACCTGTAGGTCAATAACCTAATAAATAACCCGTGGGCTATTGCGGGTATGATCCATAGAACACCCAAAAAATGATATCAATTTCACTTTCAGAATGGTCTGACAGTCATAATCTACACTACTTACTGTACTTTTAAGTACGTATTACACCATTCAAATGCGGTAATCATTTTGCACGGATGATAATCAATCTTGGAGAACATAAATCTGTGGTCATGGCTTACTCAAAAGAACACCCTGATTCCCAACTTTTCTGGTTGTGGGAAGATGAGGGAATGAGGTGCTGAAGGGTGAACTAAGAAGAGAAGTGGTAGGACTGTTATTCTAAAATGGAGCTTTCTGCGCACGTTGCTGCAGGTCTAAAACTACTTGGAAGTTCTAGTGCAATTACAGAAAATTGTTACACGAAACTATTAGAAGCCGGAATATGCGTAATTACAGATAATCAGAAAGTGATAAGTAAGTGTATTTATGCCACGAATTACCTGTGTAATGACTGTTTAAAAAATGTGTGGAATTCATTGTAATTTCTGTTTTCTTTGCATATTTCAGACGTCTCTCAACTATGCAACGCGAAAGGTGATGCAGTTAAAGAATCATATGCTGCACTTTTGTCACTTCTTATAGAGTCTGCAAGGCATGACATTGATCCGGACACACTGTCCGTTACTTTAGTTCAAGATTATAACTTTAGTGCACCAAGAAATGAAAAACTCATAAGGTTGTACAGACTGCACAAAAAACAGCTGCAAGCAGCACTCAGTAATGTAGGAATTTACCTGCCACATGTAGTAGATGCAAGCTGGACACTTGACTTTTGTATTAAGGTAAGCCATGATTCCAAATTATGCATCTTATAGATAAAAGATGGACACTTTTCTGTTGTGTTAAGGAAAGACACAATTCCATCTAACAATTGAGGATTCCCCCTTCTGGCTGATCTAGTTTCACGTAGTCAGTTGTGAAATTTTCTACATTCCATGATAAAGGTTTAATTTTTATTACCAAAAACAAAATCCTTGTGTTTAGGTGGTTAGATAAGTTGGTAAAATTTTACAAAATAAATCTCAAATTCACTGACAAATTTCCATATTCTACGTATTATAGAGCTGTTGAAGGATTATTAGGTCTTCTGAGAGAAAATTTACCATGGTCTGCTAAAATGAACAAAACTTGGGGAGAGAGAAAGAGCAGTCAAACTGTGTATCATATTTTCACTAAGCTATGTATAATATAGCAGTACTGAATGGAATTTGTATTGAATTTAATTTTAAGGTAAAGACTTATTG